TCGAAATTGTAATCTTCAAAATAAAACAATGTAGGTACCTATTTTTGGAACGCTGATCATATTTTCTATTATATAATTCCAAATATATAAAGCTCCTATATTATTATCTCTTAGTAAAATAGTAGACTACACTATATATACGTGACGTATGTTTTATGAATTCTCTTAAAAAGTGTTAATTTGTCAAGGTTTTTATAAAATTAAAGTCAAATGCTACGTAGTGAACACATAACACGACTGAATCACTGAACTTGCGAAATCTGGGAGTAACTACCGAATCTCACTGTAGAAAAAACATCTTAGATAATCGATCGTTACAATTGGGTCGACGTTTTAAACACGAATTATGAAATATGTAGAGTAGAATCGACTATATTATCTATAGAATATTGCCACTGCCTTTAGTAAATGAAAATGTATTTGAAAATAGAATTACCTGATATTATAAAAAAAATATTAAAACAATCAAAATGGATAATATTTTGCTAAAAGACAATGCATCATATTTATTAATTAATTAGTAATATAATTGCTAATCACAAACATTCTAAAATATGTAGAAATACACAATAAATCATTTTTGAAATATCCTAGAGTCCTTCCTATATGTCATTTTTGTCTATAATTATAATAAGTTTTTGAGGGAATTTATTTTCATTAAAGATAACATGTGGGATGAGATGTGAGTTTTTTTTCTCGTGTCCTTAATTAAGCCCTTTTAGTGTGTATTGCGTATGGAAATGTTTGCGTATATGAGCACGGGCAGTGGTGATGCGGAGCAGTGTGCGGGCGACGGCGGCGCACCTCGTTGTCGTTGTCAGTAGGTGTGTAAGAAACGCGCGAAGGGAAAGTATTGTGTTGCGGAATCGCGCGCGTCACGCCCCGCCTGTTACACTTCTCGATTTTAGCATGAGCTGCTCGGCCTCAAGGTGATCGAGTGTGGCCGCCCGTTGTCGAAACCACACCGGTTTCATTCAATACGTTAGTACCTACTCCGTTGAACCCGTCTGGCATTGCGCAATTTGCACCATCCAGGTGATCAATTCATTGCTATTTTTATTCCGTATCTACTACATTATATTGTTTATTTGCATTTGTAGTTAGTGTTTTAATTGTGTTCTTCCAGATGCGACTAACATTCTGCACGATATGTCTTTTGGCGACAGTGGCGCTATCTGTGAGTCGGCCTTACGACCCAGATGACGACGGTCTGAAGGATGTGCTGCCCTCTAACGGACAGTTTGAGGCGTTCTATCCTCGTGAGGCACACGGCATACCTAACGGTTCGTCGAGACCTGCGCATGGGCACGGTAGTTTCTACAAGCACCGCAACCCGGCGCTAGTTGACGTGAAAAACGCCGCCGCATACGGTTTTCGCTTCGATGGCATGAGGAGATTTAACTTCGACGACGAAGAGGAGTGAATACTAAATCTGACGCTTGTTTTAAATTGTTACACTTGTCTCTATTCTATGTTTTTTTTATTTCCATTTTCTCTCTAATTTTTATTGAAATGTTACTTACAATAGCACTGGTTTTATTTAAATAAAGTTTTTTATTTCCATAAAATCGTGTTTATACTTTTACAAACACACACTAGTGTACATGTCTCCCACACTTTACAGCCAGGTTTGGTTTTAACACATTAAAATTAGGTAGGTATACTTAATTGTCTACCTTATAAGGAGTGTCAGTGTCCAATGTGTCCAGAGCCTTGTCGGCTGAGAAGACTTAGAGCTTTAGTTACAGCATGAGAATATTGTTTAATTTCCTTGTCAGTCCAGTAAAGAGGATATCACCCAAAAACTTTAATGTTTAAAAATCAGCCTTATTTTAAAGTTAAAATTATCCTTTTTCTGGTTGCCTTAAGCCCTTAGGGAGAATCCGATGAAGTATTGACTGGTGAGACTGCTCTTATAGGTAGATAACATTCATGATAAGGAACATTTCTTATTTCATTAACCTGTTCTGAAGTCTGACAGTATGAAGGTTGTCTTTACCATGCCACGGGCTAAACAAGAATATTCCATTTAATGGTCTTAAAAATTAACTTAAGTATAATTATCACAACCATAGCTTCCAATTCTTGGACTTTGGCCGGTAATCAACAACAGGTGATCTACACCAACCGTACCTAGCTTTCGACTTTATATCAAAGTAACAAAGTTGCTAATCTAATAAATAAATTTTACAGAAAATACCTGTTGGCAAGTACACGGTTGCCGCGGTGGCTGGGCAACAGGTTGCTGCACAACGTGTCGCGGTTTCAATTCCCGTACGAAACATTTCTTCTTTGATCTACAAATTGTTGGGGTGTGATGTGTATCTGAATTTGTATATTTGTAAACGCACCCACAACACAGGAGAAAATCCAAGTGTGGGGCAAGGTGTACCTACCTATCTATAAAAAAAGGCGTGACTCCTAATTCAATACTCGAGAGTCAGTGCCCGTTTAAAATCAATTAGTATACACTAACATAGATTCACATTCACCTATTTTTTATGACAACTCCGTAGCCGAAACCGAATCTTTCGATCCAAAGTAAGAAATTTTAATAAAGAAAATTTAGCATCAGCTAAGACTGGAAGGGAAAATAATCTTTTGGAGATTGACAGTAGTCTGGACTTGGATAAGGGCGACACAGAGTGTCACACTCTTGCGTTTTAAGAGCCACCCGTTCCAACTTCTGTTTCAAACCGGTCTGCGGTATATTATTGTGTTTGATCTCCAGCTCATTGACAACTTCGGCCAGACATCGGCGCCAGTAGGCCCCGTCGGTGCCGGCACAAGAAGTCACATTGAGTGCGCACGGAACAAGCACTGTGCACTCGGGTATCTATGGTTCTGGTCTGGCAGCGAGCTACCCTTCCACCTACGTAGGTACGGTACGTATATCGTTATCTTCTCAAAGTTAAAATCATTCATTTAACAATATTTTCTGCTTTATTTCGTTTGTCTTGTGGATTTAGTTAAGGAAGGCTTTGCTATGGTTTCAGGATGTTGTGGCCGGCTCGTTGCATAAAAAAATATGAAGGTACGGCCAGGATTTATGAAAGTAGGTAGGTAGATACATGTAGGAGGAGGAGGGAGGAGCGTATGCATCTGTTTTGAAGTCGGCCAAACGCGCTCTCGCACATACTGACTAACTCGGGTATAACGGGTCTATTAACTCCATGTTATTAATTTATTTTAATTTATAATACAAAATTAAAAGGAAATTGTCGTTTAATTATAAAACTACCCTAATATAACAAGCTCTTGCTAAAAAAGGTAGTCTGGTTCGAAACGTGCTTCTTTCGCCGCAGCCCATCTAAAGCCTTTAACAGCATTGCTGTATACCGATTTCAATTGACTTCCTGTCTTATATCGGTTCAATTATTTACTTAACCAAAACTTAAGGACCGTTACATGTTTTTTGAGTATAACAGTGTCATTTTGTTCACTGCACCCATTTAAGATTTCATGCTCGATGTAGCAAAGCAAAGGTAAAAAGGGGGAAGTCTAACAGTTTGTTGGAGTTCACTGATAATGAACACGTCTCCTCGATTCGTCACGAGTGTCAACCACATCCTTCCTTGCCATTACGTGGTCATCAGACCGAGAGCGCCGCCTGTTTGTGGATACCAGGATCCATGCGACTGCCTTTATATACTTAATTCAGAACTAACTTGGGTCTAGTATTTTCAATTACGTATTGTATTATACGCAAAGCAAACTAACTAGTATTATATTAATACGAAGGTAGGTTTTAATACATATAGAAATATTTTACTACTTACACTTAGGTACAGAAAATACGGAACCACATAACACTTGAAAGATACTTAAATCTTTTTTATTGGGACATTTTCAGTAAGTCTGTTACAGGAATGTTTCATTAATTAATTGATAGTATGTATTAAAATTTGAAATCTATGCAAGGTTACAAATAAAAAAATAACATCAGCGAATGGCTTAGGAATGTAGATATCCGGAAAAGTGACCTAAACATAGGTACGGAACAACAATCTGCTGTTTTAAGCAACACACTTCAAGAATCTTTATGGTAAGGTTAACATATGCAATGTGTAAAAAGAAGCCATTAATCCCCGGCTACGGCGGTAAACAATTTTATAAATTGGTGAAAACAAATAAAGAACTTTCAATAGGGACTCTACTTAGAATTCAATAACTTTTCAAAATTATACAGGGTAAGATCTATGTTAATTAGTTGTGATCTTTGCAAATGTTTTTTCCGGACTATCTACTTATGAAAGAAAATATTGATCATTTTGCCCAAAAGCTTGTAGTTAACACCCAGAGGCGCGCCTCATCACTTCTGTCCACGTCTAAGGAACTATGAAACCCCACTATCGTAGAGTACACGCTGTTTAAAAACAAAATTAAAAGAAAGAAAATTAACCATGCCTATCAGCATACATCCTTATTCCTTATAATAAGTTATGAAACTCTCATCGTAAATTTTGTGAACCTAATAGTAGGCTGTAGGTACCTAATAGTCGCTTAGTAGATAATCTAAAGCCAAGAAAGTATCGAGGCAGCATTAAATACACCTCACTTTAAAACTCCATGTCAAAACACTTAGCCGCCGTCAGAAAAAAGTGTGAAATTATCTTAAGTGGCCAGTATCTAAGAAAGCCCTTTTTAAAATCAGGCTAATATAACGGTACGTTCTAAGTAAAGATAGAAGTGTAGATAAGTTAATAAGATTATTATTATACCTCATGTTGAGGTCGGGGACCGGCTTTTAAGGACGGAATGTTTCTGAAACCGTGTATAAAAAACGACTGGTCCCCAGGGAGCGGTCATTCCGCGGCCGGAGTGGGTGCACGCATCTTCGTTCCCAAAATAACGATTTTTTTGTGTTAAGGTTACTTAATTCTTCGTTCGAACTTGAACTAGTAGTTTTGGGTTCAACCTCGGAGGGGGTGAACGTTAGTCAATTTCTCTCGTCCAGTTAGCACATCTCCAGAAGTGCCATGTATCCGGATCCAGTCAAAATGGTGAGTAACCTTTATTTATTTTAACACTTGCGATTTTTATGCTGTTCATTAAGCTAATAGTGCTTTTTTACTTCATAGCTTTAGTGATTTATATTATAGAAATGATTTTTGATTTTTAATTAAAATAATAGTCCTAAACACATTGGTATTTACTGCAAACATTGTTGAATAAAAACATTAGGAAAGGAAGCCTGTCTCCCGCGCTCCTGACTATCATACAAAAGATTTATCCCTTTTTCGTGTTTACATTATTTGAGCTTAATGATTGTCTATTGTTGGGTGAGATTTCAATTTATGTGTCGGCAATAACAAGGTAGAATGGATGGGTGATGAGAGCAAGGGTGAATGCAAGTCATTCGACGGGACGGTTAGTTCTCAAGGAGCTTCGAGTGCGCGGTGCGTTTGTTAACATCTCTGTTTTGACACCCGTCGATTGATTGATTTATTGTAATTGAGATAATAATTTACTTAGGATATTTTTTATTATTATTTTGTATTGTTAAGTTCTTCAACTCTTAATGTCTTAACCTTGGATGTAAGTTTATATTTGATTTTATGTAGATACCGTTATTTTTTAATGATACCCTTTTAGGTATTTAGTCATTACGTTCTAAATTTACTTAGTCAAAATCTAGGTCCTTATTACATTTTTATGAAAATAATTTTATAAAATGTTAAGGTATCTGTCTATAAATTACTTACATCGTACATTAATCACTACTAAGACTAAAATATAGTGTACTAGTAGTAAATAAAGATGATGATGTTCACGCGGTCCTAGGCGAAGCGTAGAGAATAAATTAAACATTTATGAGTTTGGGACTCGCACGCACCATTTAACGATTATCCACGGTCCGGTACAAATCTCTTTATAATGTTCACATCTGGCAAAACACGGGAACAGTACCTATGATTACTCCAACGAATCTCCCATGAGAAGGGAATTTGAATTGTTATCCTGGCTGAAGAAATTAACCTTTGAATTTTAATAGTTTCTAATTACTTTCCGACAATTAACCATCCCTACATCTCGTATATCCAATTCCGAATGGGAGGCGCACGTCCACAAACACGGCGTTGTTTATTAAAATACTAATTAACAGTGTATAATTGAGTGGTTAGGATTTTTATAACATGAAACCATTAATCATGAATGTTACAAGATGTGGATACCTCTAATTAACTCCAAGATTGTTGTACCTATTATTGTTTGGTACTAAGACTTAGTAAACATTAGTGTCAGTATATTTTTCTTTATGCTCGCGATCTGTTTTTTTATAACTGCTTTGCGAAAATCAGCTTTAGCGCTCAGCTTTATATACTAGGTGTAATTGAAGTATTTTTCTTATGTGGATATTGTTTCTGTCCTTGTCAAACTAATATTTCAATTGCATGTTATTTTCAAATGAAATATTGCGTCACGAGAAAGTGAATTAGGTATTGTTATGTATGACCACCTACCTATCATTGTAAATAACGTGTACCCACTTTCATTTTCCCCTTATCTTACATGAGGCGCGCTGTATTATTTTTATCATTTTTTAGTTGTTACGTAGGTACCGACTAGATATAACAGTGACTTATTTTTGTTGCTTTGTGTAGGTAACGAAGTCGTTGTTATTTCAAGTAATGGTGTTACAAGAGTTGGTTTCTGTGGTTACTGCTCAGACAGAATCTAGTTAGATAGGAGTCTAAATGGGAGCGTCATTTGGCTAATTTTAAAACAATGTGTTTACCTATCATTTGACTTAATTGCACTTTTACACGATTATGCACCTATTAGTTTCTTCTTCTCATATAATGTTGTGTATGTTATTGTTTACATTTTTCATATACATGTTGTTTAGAGAACGTGATTGAGATATTGTATTTTCTTCGTAGATGCAGTTTGTCCTGAGTTTGGCGCTGGTCGCATCATCTGAAGCTTTCTTCTTGAAATGGGGCTCGGATTCTTCGTAAGTTGCTCTTTATTAATTTTGCATTTCATTTTAATTTATAATAGGAATGCGAAAGTTTTAAACACATATTCATTAAAACAGTATAGGTAGATATTGTTATGAAGCAATGTATAAATACATGAATATAAATAAGTAATAATAACGCACTTATAGTATTTCCATAGTTATCATCTACCAGTTCATAGCCACCCACATCCGTAACCATACCTATAATTTTCTACCATATTGCACAATAGTCCTGCATCAACCGCGGATTGTCCTTGGGTGTACTTTTATTGTGTATACAGGGATCATTGCTGGCCCATCATGTCCCATTACATTTATATTAAAACTTTTTCAACGGGCCTTTGTGAGTTGGCTTCTGAATGCCTACCAATGGTCCGGGAACCTGTGATCCCGTGAAAGGAATGGATACATAAAAAAATACTTACCTTTTATAAATATCGAAATATCAGATTTTCTTCCTTTAACCAATAAAATTACTTAATATGTTTTAAAAGTAATCTACATCCTCTCCTTTTAAAACTAACTGCTTGTGCCCTGCAGGGACCATAATTTGTTTCTATCAATTTTAACTCATCAGCCTTTTTGGTAACGTAATGGAATGCAATTAAATTATTGAGTATTGTAGGTATTAATTATAGGTTGGTAAGTTTACCCTACCCGTGAAATGAGACACCCTTCCGAAACAGCAATGGAAAGCTAGATTTTCATAATAAGTTGGTTCTCATATCCGCGCTGCGGTTCCATAGCAATGCTGGGTTCGGATAGTGTGTAACTTATAGTTTGATTTATTAACAAGGCAATGAATAAAATTTTAGGTATTACGTAAAATCGCAAATTACACATCTAGTTATAATAAACAATATTTTATTTCAACGGTTAATAAGGCGTAATTTCAAGTTTGAGTGCAAGCAATAGCGAAGTAACTAATAATTATTTAGCGAATGTTATTAATAATTGATGTTGTGATTTCCAATATAAAATTATTCAAATCCAAATTAGGAAATAAATTAAATTATAATAAATGAAGTTTGATTAGGTATTCAACACTTGATTATGAATTTGCACCTACCTCTTCCACAAGTAGTAATTGAGGGAGTGTCGATAGAAGTTTAATCCTTAATATAAAGCTTTTAGAATGCAGTTTAAGGTGTAATATAAATGTTATATCTTGTTTAGCTGGAGGAGTAGGCAGAAGGACCATATTAAATATATAACTATCTAAATTTTAAAAGAATATTTATTGAGAATCAATTCTTCAATTCTTCAATGAAACAATGAATTTATTTTTGCAAATAGGCCATGCTTGTACAAACGGCACTTTTACACGTCAATTTATACCTATGTGAAAAACTAGATGAAGCCAACATTTCCTATCTGATTACTCTGAGAAGAAATGCCGAAACAAACTCAGAGGTCAGTCTCTTTCTTCAAACACAAGCCCCAAACCTGAAATTACTCAATATTAATTAACTAGGAACAGAACAATGAGAGAACTTTTTCGAGGAAATGGCATTAGCAAGCTTATCGTTAGAAAAGGATAGGTATATTATTATGTAAACAATCAATTATTGGTGACAAATGGGGCTAATGGTCAGTCGTATTGTGGTTTAAGCGCAATAATTTACTGCGTCTCCAGCTTGTAGCAGGAGAAGGAACGCGTTGGATATCGGTCAATAAAAATCTGACACCACCTCTAGAAGGGGGAGAAAACTTTTCCAGATTTTTCCTCTTCAATCGATTACCATTGTTAAAAAGTTAATGGTAACTGTTATTACACAGTTGCGATTTCATTTCGCTACTCATCGATTACCGACTAATCGTCACATTTACACAATGCACCAGATAAAAAACTCCACGTTTCCTCGTTCCATAAAAATAATACTTACTTACTTATTGTATGTTCACTTTCATGATTCGGACGGGTGTGTCTGAACTTTTTACCAGTTGACACTTTTTGCTCTGTTGCTTCTATTTCCTAAGATTCCTCGTGTTTTATATGACGATTGATAAACAAAGACCTTTCATTCAATTATTATTTAGCCCATTTCGGACATATTGTCATACTTATGTAATAACAACTCCTTGAGCATTCGTGCAAAACTGTTGTAACACATTTTTTAAAGTGTTCAAATACCGCCATTGTCCTCAAAACCTTACATCGAGTACCATTAAAGAATCCGACTCTCCCTACTCAATAGTAATACTTGCAAACAGCCTAAAAACCACTTCCGATGTAAACAGTTGTGAATTGCTTACAGAAGCCAGTCATCCGCTCAAAAGACGTGGGTGCAGCCGTTACCGCCAAACATGTCGCCAGGCTACCGGTACCAGTACACATACACGCCGTACGAGCCACGCAAGGTCTACCAGATCCAGCCCCCACAATACTCATCTCATCAACCTGAGGTGATGCAGCAGAACCTGGCGCCAATCCCTATCAGCGTGCCAGCCGGGGCCAGCCTGACCCCCGTGTCTCTTCAACACGTCCAGCTGGTGCCCTGCATGTGTCCTGTCGCTCCTGAGGAGGCTGAGAAACTCCAGGAGCAAGTGGGCCCTGGTCCCTACATGCCCCAGACCTACAGCCAGCCAGCCTACGCTGTCCAACAACAAGCCCCCTCAGACAATGGTCAAAATCCCAACAAACAGTAGGATACGCAAATAAGTTTAAGCGTCAAGTTATCCCACCAATGACTCGCTCATTTAAACTGTAATTTATTTCATTGAAATATTATTATTTAATTTAATGTCTTGAAGGAAAATCGTGCTTTTTGCTACATTGCATGAGGAATTTTCTTCAAAATATTACGAAGACTGATAGACTAAGAACAACGTGTGTTCGTTTATTCTAATAAAAGATAACCGTATTTTTTGTTTTATTTTGAGAATTCTCTATCATATACTTAATTTAACGTTTCTCAAGAGTTCTAGAACTCAGCTACCAGCTATTTTATTTGGCGCATGAAAGTAATTGACGGTTACGTGCAGGAAGTAGCATGTGGAAATAGTTTCTTTGTTTTTTTTGTATTGTTCGAAACATAACTGCCATTTTGTACATTCATTAAAAAAAACACTAAGGTCCCCAAAAAAATAATAAACCTTTACTAACTTTAAACTCTAACCTAACTCTAAACCTAAGTTTTTTAAAGTAATGAGGGTAGGCGATAATTTAAACCGAATGTAATTAACCAAATAGGATAAAATAGTTTGTAAAACTGGGGAGTGTGAAGTTTCGAACTTTTTGTTCGATAAAGCTGAATGTCTGAATACTGATTACACTGTCAACGTCAAAAATATTAAAAAAAATTAAATATATTCTTGAATGTATGAATAATTTCAATGCTAACTTTATCTCATGACGCATTCTCATACAAGTAACATTTAGCAAGTCCTACGTATAGGTTAAGAAGTAACAAAAATTTGTGTTGACTGTGAAAAAACATAGTACCTATCCCAAGTGGACAAATGTGCAAGTTATTATTTTGTGTACGCGGTACGATCAAGTGTCGTTAAAAGGAGTATCGGTATTACATTGGATAATTCTGCTGTACCATTCTAGTATGTTTAAGATTATGAATATATTTTCATCACAAAAGAATAGTATGTTAACCTTAGCGGAGCTCCAAAATAATATTCAAGAGCTCAACACCTTGTACATGCCAATTAATTTAAACACAGATTTCCATAAATCCAAGGTGGCAGCCGTTAACAAATTGCATTATATTTTAAGCCACACAAACAGAAAAGTTTTACAGGAACAAGATTTTGAACCTTTACTTCTGTGTGCTTTGACTGTAGTGTATTACTTTGGCATGCGCATTAAGTTGAACAGATTAATTTCTAAATATTGGTATTGCTGTGGTAGGCGTCAATTTCATAAAGCAGAAAGAGCCTTTCAAACAACTATGGATATGCTGTTACCAGAATGTAATGAAGCTACGATCAAAAGAACTCTTAAGTTCTTCACAGAAGTAGAACTTTGGTCTTTTGAAAGTTTCGTTGAACAAATCCTAGAAGTGCTTCTCTTTTTCGACAGAGGAAACACAACACTCTTTAACATGATGCTCACTGATATCCACTACGTGCTGTTCGTCGACGTGAAGTCCGTGACCAGACATCGTATGAGGGTCTTGTACAATTTACTCAAAAGTTCTAATTGGGTAATTGAAAATAATAAACTGTTGCCCTTCGTCACACGCATGTTAGATTTTTTCACTTACAGCGTATCAAAAGATGACGGTAAAATGGCACAATATACATATCTTAGAAAAGGTTTCGAAGTATGTCTGCGTCGAATCTTTGAAAGAGTGGAGAACAAGCATCGTAAGTTAATAATAACCACAATGCTAAATTGGTTCTCAATGGTTAACATGAAACAAGAGTATGTTTTAGAGTTCTCCACATTACTAGATCATGCTGTAGAATTTTATCAAGTGGGTGTATATAGAGAAAGTTTCAGTCAAGGATTGATTGAACACGTCTTAGTGAATTTAGTAGGATCTAAGAATGCCACCAACAGTCTTGTTGGTTGTCGACTAATACTAAAATTTTTAGATCGCAAGCACAATTCTGAATTTCTTGTAATTCCAACGTTGTTCTATGAATTTTCACAGGTACGTTTTGTTTAATAAAATGAGTTTAGTAAAATTGTGGCCATATTACTAATCTTTTTGCTACACAATGTTTAGGTGAGACTGAAGGTTGGTAATTATGATGTTAAAGACAAACTTTTTATTCGATATCACCGAGAAAAGCTATCAAATAACCTGTTGAAGGCGATTAGAAGACACGGCACAAATATTGTGAATCTGAAAACTATATACGCTATAGTGTGCTGTGTGGTGCTGGAAGTACCATGCGGGCTGACGGCTGCAGCCGCCGCTTGTATTGTGATGGCCATACAAGACCAGGCTCTGAATGGCGAGAATATCCCGGCGCCCTGCAGATATTGGCTGCATGCCGTCGTCGTGTCTGTCATGTCCCTGATATGCTGGGTCCACAAAGCGCCTGTGCTGTATACGTACGTGAACCATATTGTGGCACGCCGAGCGAAGGAGGCTCCACAACTAAACCCACCGTTGATGTACTTTTACAAAATTGGCCGGCACCACGTCACTTGGAATAAACCGACTTTGTTTTTTGAAGATTGGGAGTTACGTTATGCGCTTTGGAAACATTTCCAAGAAACTCGGGTAAGCAATTTGATTTCGCTGTAAATATTACAGTTAGTTGTGATGTGTACCTGTACCTACTTGTTGCCAGTTTTGTATGGTCATATTTCGTTTTTGTTTTTTATAGACAGAATCGTTTGCTGACAAGACCCGTCACAGAAAAGTGCCTTCACTCGATTTGCGAAACTGAAACGATGAAAGTTTTAAATGCAAGTTGAAATAATGTTTACAGTGTTAAGTTCAATTAGAGGGAACGATTCGATTGTCTGTGTGCGAATAATGATAGTTACGAGACTTATTGAATTACCAGATTATATCGGAGGAAGCAATTTGCGTGTGTAAGCAAAAATTACTTATATGAATTCTGTTGTTAATATCGGGTGTATTACTGTTTTTTGCTATTTCCGCGTATTGCCATCGAATTTATTACATACTGCTAGTCTTAGCTATCACCATCGACAATACACATATTTCATGGTGTGTAATAGAGCAGATTTCACTCATACGAATCAATTTTAGAACTAATTTCCCGGCCTATGTTTTCTCGTGACGGTATTTTTTATTGCTGAGTGTGATATTTCTAATTCTCTATATTTAGTGATAAAAGAAAAGAGAAAATATACATTTTCTTATTGGAAACGCTCAAGAGCATCTTAGTGATATAAAGTGTGAATGATGACAACTCACTTACCTAATTTAAACTTACTAATAGCGAGAGGAGTATTGCAGAAAAGGCGAAAAGATAGTGCAAAATGAGTAATCATACTCCTTACACGTATTCCGTACTACGTCCAATTCGGATCCAATCCGAACTTGTGAAAATATTTTTTGTTGTAGTCGTGGATCGTGACATTTCCCGTTTTTCTCGATTTCAGATCGAATGTAGGTAATACAGAACCGCTTTATTAGTGTGTTAAGCAGTTACTTGCTAGAAAACTTTTTTTTTATTAAAAATGTAAGAGTTTATTTCACTTTCAACTGCATCATGTATAGCCACGTCTGAGACTGGCCTCCCGTACTCATCACCGATGACAATGTAAGATATAATTTGCTCAGCTCCCATTAGTTTCACTAGCATACTTAATGAGGCGAAGCTGATATTTAAATAATGCCGTATTCTATTGTAATAAGTGAGTAAACTCGGACTCTTGACGTAATCTTGATTATGCTATAACAATATAGATAATTAATTAGAGAAAATTTATTTCTTGCTCCCCGTTTTTAGACCTCGTTATCTGTCTAGACTCTTTGATAATTATGTTCAGCACTTTTTTGTATTTTTGTAAAACATAGACAATTAATCAATGTATTGTTTAGGTTTCTTTTTTGTAATGTAGCGTTGTCGTGGTAGTCCGGAGGTTAAGGAGCCCGCTTCTCATGCATGAGGGTTCGAAACCTGGCAAGTACCAATGTGACTTTTTCCGAGTTATATGTACTTTCTATGATTATTTAGACACCACTGAGATACGGTGAAGGTAAACATCGTGAGGAAACCTGAACTTATAGTTTCTAATTATAAGTTTGAAATCGCCAACCCGCATTGAGCAAGCGTGGTGATTGATGCTCTAACCTTTTCCGTATGAGAAGAGACCATTGCTCTGCAATGGGCACATATAGGCTGATGATGATGTAGTGTTGTAGCAGAAGTATGGTGGATACGTCAGATATACATAATAAGTATGCGAGGGTACGGCACGCTCACATACTTAACATGTAAGTATATGGCCTGATATGGCGATTTACTTTAATAACTCTGCAAATCTTTATCTTCTTATGAACATCCCGAAACCAAAAGTTATACCCTAATAAAATGATCCCGTTTTGGTTTTAAAAGGAAACACAAATAAACACACTTACTTTTTTATCTGTTACTATAGTTATAAAACGCTTTACTTAGATATTGTGTAAAATAAGGTATTAATAAAATCAATTTTTATGGTTTTCGTCATTGCAATTCTATAATTATTTGAAACAGTCGATTGCGAGTTACGCGGCGTGAAACAGTTTTATGAAAGACAAATTGGTTAGATCGCGGTTGTCTGCTATGGTTCACTTTATTTGTAAATATTTGTAAATAAACAACTGATTATGCGGTCATACTGGTTACTTCCAAATTAATTTGGTACCTCTTACAATTTCCTTCATCATTAACCTATAAAGATTATGAACTGCTTTTTCGATTATTTCATCTTTGAAATTGTTTGTTTTCTTCTAATTTTAATTCCTATCTATATCTAACTCTAGTTACTATTAAGATTTTCTTCACCTAAACAAGATATGAGTTTTTCGATGTTTTCAAGGTTGTATCAACTTTACCTATACTCGGAATTTTAATTCCATTCCAGATTTGACAATTTCAGTGTTGCAACGTTATGACACGTAATAAATAGTGACGTTGCGAAATTATTCGATATGGAAATCGAATATTTCTGAATCGATTCCTCTCGTTTATAAATTTACTCACGTAAACTAAGTTTATCAGGAAATAAAATATTTCTGAACCGATAATTTAGTTTTGACAATTAATTAACGATCTGAGACTTTTCTTTTGTAATTTTGTGTGAAATTAATAAAAAATGCGATCATGAAGGAACGTGACAAATAAAACAGATATTTTATAAATTGTCGCCGTCATCGCTATCGCTATCGCCGTTACTCTATGGAACATTTATTATGAATTGTGTCTGTGATATTTATTGTCAATTAACATGGGATACACATTTAGACCATTCGGTAGGCGTAATATTTTGAATGCCTTCCTGAAACTGATTTACTGATTGTTTATCGATTTTTGTGTTCATCACTACACTGTTAAATGTGGTATCATTATTTCACAAAATGACAGTGGTCAATGTCAAATCAGGAATCGAATTAAAAGTCTGACTATAGATCGTTGCTAACAGCACTAGGAGGCATTTTTGAGACCTTGTGCTGTGTTTATACCATAAAAAAATCCATATTCCATATTATAACAGTCATATCAACTTAGAACTTAGAACTTAGGTAGAAGTAAAGATTCATAAATATTAATGTAAATAAAAAGAATAAAAAATAAAAAATTAATGAATGGTGGAAATATATTTGGTTAACAGCAATATCTTTGCAACAGAGCGAACTTTATGCTTAACGATGGTTTCCATGTCTCGTCGTGGACTTTCGTCACATAAATACTAAGGAATAAAGGATTTGTAACCATTGAGAGTCAACAATACTTTGATTGACTTATGATTAGGTACTTACAAAGTAGTAACTAAAACAGTTTGTACTCATTTAAACGTAGGAAATCTAAAGATCGTACCTAGTACGTCTTCGTCACAGTTTTTGCGCGACGAAGCGTCTGCTTTGCTAAGTAACATGGTTAATTCCTACAAAACATATCTAAGTTACAAAAGGAGGGGTTGGATTTTTCTAGACTACCATTAGAGAGAGTTAGCTACATGCGGTATAGAGCTTCTGAAATAGGACGGTCGGATATCAACGGAATACTTGCACTTGGTGCCAATGTATGCCATATATAAGTATTGATAGGTGCATCGGCATTCATTGCTAGTTAGTTGCCAGACTCGGGCGCATCGCATTGCAGTGGGAAAGTGCTAATTTTCCGTAAGTGCGCAAAAGCGTCGCACGCGCCATTCAGCGAATTGATTTCACACGCGCATCTCTCTGCAAGACTTTTTGCTACAGACGACACATGTTCGTTTGCTGTGCTTTCCACTACATTGTTGTACAACAATAGATACGATTATGGATTGTAGAAGTGCGGTAAGTTTTTGTTGATCCTGTGAGAACGTTTAACAGCTTGTAACGATTTGCATGTCACTCTTCGACGTCTTTATCATCAAGTTTAACGAGTTATTAGTCATCAGGCTCATCAAATATGGTTCTCACGATTGTAGTATCTAATTAGTTTTGACATTTTGATTAATTATGAGTAGAACATATTATTGAATGTTTGCGGTTGCTAATTGTACTTTGTTTACAACTTCTTAATTGACTTGTCATGCCTGGAGTGGCACGAGAAGAGTTGACAATGTTATCGCGCATGATTATCCAGCGGATTTATCCAGTATGTTATTGGGCCGGTATCTAATATAGTTTCGGTGGCTATTGTATGTTTATGAATGTCCTTTGTTGTCATTTCTTACAAAGCGAACGATTTGTACTTGGAAATGATATTTGGTAACAACAATTTTATTTTTTTATGTTTAATATAATATTCCTAATAAGTTTTCCATTAAAACTAACTTTCCCCTTTCGATTACTACGAGGCCTGTCTTTGTTTTAAAATGTCAGACATAAGTTTAACAAAACGCAAGTGCATATGTTTTTACTAATTTAATGTTTGAATTGTTATGGCTAGTTATTATAACAATGTTTCTATAACATGCCAATTGTTAACAAGGTTTTTTATTGATATCAATTAAAATTATCTATTATAAATGTAGAAATATTTTAAAACATGTATAGAAAAGGCATAAAACTATCTGTCAGTGATACTAATAGAAACTTAACCTTACTTACTAACCTAGATATACATACATTAGATAGATGCTTCGGCACAAATGGGTCGAATCAACCTGAATGACTACGGCCTCACAGAAAACTTGCATGAAACGACTATAGCATTGTTATGTTTCGCCGTGTGAGTAAGGTTACCAGCGGCCCAATCCTACCCTTCCCCTAATCCCTAAATCTCCAAATCCCTAATTCACAAATTCTCAGTCGTCCATGGGCGGCGCTGATTGATTCTCATTAGGTAATCCGTCAACTCATTTGCCAACCTATCATATAAAAAAAGATTCGGGGCCCGTAAGCGTGGGTCTGCCAACAACGAGCAAAGCCACTCGAGCACAACCAGTTTCGAGCATATAGCCGTGCCTCTCTCCGTGAGCCAAAAGTCCACCCCAACAGACACCCAATAGGGCCGAGGTTGAGCCAGGGTATGCGGGTCAATCACAATAATAATTATACCATGACCTCGGGACAAGGAGGAGGCCCACTTGCAGAAGACAACGGGGTGGTTTTTAGTAAATAACAGTGACGTTTCCTCTCACCTCATTTCGTCGGCGAAAGAAGTCATTTTCGAAGACTATCCACCTAATATTTCTCAAAAGATATTGTTTTTTTAGCTCCATTTGGATCTCAATTTTGCTTGACTGTCGTTTACAACTCTTCAGTTACTTAATAATGTTTGGTTTATATCTCCTCTTACAATAGTTTCTGATTTACTGGTTTATCTATTTGTATTTATTCCTTACGGCTCCAAGAGAGTGGTATAATGTCCCTGAATTGCGCCTTGACTTGGCGAATGAAAAACGGAATTAAAAAGGTATACTGTAGATCCTGAATTGCAGGATTTGCAGTGGATTTAGGAGGTTGTAGCAAACATGTTCCAAAAAAAGGAATAAGAAAACTGCGTACAATACTAGACTCCAAAGTTCAGATCATCGATGATCTGAAATTAGAACTATTAGGTGGGTATTATGGGTAGTTTGTAGGAACTTTAAGCTTTATCTAAACACTACTTTCTGTGTCTTATCCAAGGTCGGCATCGTAGCCAACCATTGCCTAAGTACAAGCAGTTTGCCGACCCAGTCCAAAAACAAACATTCAGTTATTGGTTTAATAAATCTTTGCACTACCCAGAAACCGAACCCGAGAACCATTTTTTTTTGAAAGGGTGTAAATCGTCAAATTGCTTCTCTCCCCCAGGTTGAGACTAAAATAAGTGTCACATCTTACAGATTAAAAATCACCCAGTGCATTCTTCTTCTTGCCGTGGTACCTTATTGAGTTAGACCCGCAACCCTGGCTGAACGTCGGCCTGGTTGGGCCCCATCTGTGGTAGTCTATTAGCTATAAGAGGCGCGCGCGAAACGCTACGCGCTGTAAGCTCGGGTCTTGTTCTCTCACCCAGCCCAGGGCTGGAGAAATCATTTGATGATTTGCCCGGCTCGGTCTTTACCTACTGATAATAGCATAGCTCAAATAGTAATAGTAATAAGCGCCTCATGCGAGTACCTAACTAATAACATTAACGTCGCGAGTCTTTGCATGTCACTGTTTAAATTTTTATTTGTTCAATTTCCAGATCCTGATTTGCCTTGCAGCACTTTTGGTGTTTTTGGTTGTGAAGATAGAAGGGTAAGTAATAACAATGAATGCAATAAAAATATTTACATTTTCAAATAATTTAATCGGTGTTGTTACTGCCAGTTTGCGAATTACAATTACACTTGGTTAGGAGCCCAACATGGCTACCTTGCTTGACAAAGTCGTACCTATTCTCGATCACTTGTCGACGCCGCATTGTCTTTGTCTGGGGCAAGTCATCAAATTTCTTCTCCCGCCTAGGTTGAGGCTAGGGGAAGTGTCAGACTCTTACTGACTAACTACTGCGAGGCCGCGGTGCCTCATTGCGCTTACCCCGCAACTCTGGGTAAACATCAACTCTGTAGGGTCCCGTCTGTGATGTTCTATTGTTTCTTTAAGACGCGTGTGAAACGCTTTAAGTCTTACTCGCCATCCGCAGACCCGCGCTTACGGTGGTCGGAGATCATAACTTGATCCCGGAGTGTCGCCTACTACGGGGGCTGGGGCGAGATTACACGGCAATGTAAGGACCTACTTCACAACGGCCGGATCCACTATGTACCTTATAAACTATTATATGGAACGTAATAAGCATGGACGTTTTGTCACATAATAATGTTGAATAATGTTGTTGTTGAAGGTGATGGGCCTTACTCTAAAAAATTATGACCATTCTGAGAGTGAAGCCATGATTAAAGTGCAATTGAACACGTACCTAATGTAAACCCTACAATTATATTTTCAATACATTTGTGTTGAAACAAAGGCTTCTTAGCTAGAACAAAAATGTTATTCTATTTCGATTCCGTGTTTAATAATTCCCAGTCATAAGTCCTCTTGTTATGTTATAGGCACTCACTGAACTAGATGATACTCATTAGGTACTTACGAAGATTAGGTGTTATGGTATAATTCTATATTCGCCATTAAGGTATTGTGGTTATACATATCTAGGTATTTTTATGGGTCGGCAAAAGAGCAGACGGATTACCTGATGGTAAGCATTCGGCCATGGAAACCTGTAACACGTTAGGAGAGCGTTGCCGACCTTGGAGATAAGGGTTTCACATAATGCAAATTAAAATATACCATGAATAAAAATTCTTAACTTTGTAATAAATAAAAATATAAATTAAATTAAATTTTAAGATAATGAGAACAAAATTATACTTAACAAGATTTTTTCTAAATTTCATAATACATTATGGTTGTCTAAAAACTTATTAAAGTACACACGACGACATGACAGTCTTATGTTTTCACATAAACAAAGAATTAATAAAATAGCAGTTTCAATATTTTTTGACCAAACCTTAAATCTGTAGGGGAAGAAGCCTCTTTAAAACATTAATTTGTCTTCATCTCATTTGTATACCGATGCGATTAGTCACCTCCACCAGCAAATTGTAAAGAAAGGCAAAAAAGTTACTGTTTAACAGACCAACGTGGGTTCATGAACAAAGTACATTGAATTTTAGCCGTCTAACACATTCAGACGTGTCACGTGTTTATTTAACAGCCGGGGTTGCGGGGTAAGCGCAATGAGGCACCGCGACCTCGGCCCAGAGCAGGAGAAGGAACGGGGGGGTTTTTAGTCAGTAAGAGTCTGACACTCCCATCATTTGACGATTTTCCCCTCCAAAAAAAAAACGTATTTATTTAAAGCAATTTTCGACAGTTAAAAACATAATGCAAGATGATCTAGGTAACCGGAAACGTTGGAACATCACTCACGCGCATCGAAGTAGGAAGCTCCCGAAATTATTGGCCTATGACGGAACTCCAGTAAAATATAAACCGTCGTAGGTTGGTTCTACCATTATTGTTACTTAGTTACCTCAATTGTGTTATGCGCGGTGCATAACGACCGACAAACAACGACAAATTGCTTTGTTACAGTTGTAACACGCATATACATGGTAATAAGCACAAAGAAAATAAGTAGGCATATAATCTTCTACTCATTTTAGCCATATTGTGTTCATTTTCCGTTACATAGTAATGCGATAAATATGCGAAATTGATACTTGAATGTATCGTGTGAGTTTCTACCTGTTTATTACTGTCGCAATTTCCAAATGTATTATTGTGAGCCAGTTTTATTGTTGCCTTAATTTGGCTTTGCTGATTGATTGCGCATACTTAAACTACCGGGTGAAAGAGGTTTAGAAACTCTAATTTATTATCTGATTTATTTAAATAAATAACATTAAGAACGATTTATTTTTCAAATAGTCGTTGTGGTTTTCTCTTCACAACATCAGTAGGTAGGCCGGCACCTACTTACTGACGTTGTGGATGTTGTGTTGTGAAGGGTTACGGCTAGAGCAGGAGAAGGAACGTGGGAGTTTTTAGCCAGTAAAAGTGTCACTCCCTCCCACCCCAACCTGGGCGGGAGATATCATTTGATGATATTCCCCTGACAAAAAAGCCTGTTGGTACGGCCCTACAGGAGCCCTCTTCTCAGAAGAAGGAGAATTAAGTTTTAATTGGGGTGATAAATACTTAAGCTTGCTCAAGGCGGGTTACTGATAACAATCTTACAACTAGAAGTTATAAGTTTAGGTTAATAATGTACGAAAGTTAAAAGTATTAGGAAAACGTTACATTGGTTATATTTGCTATACTTACATGGTTATCCTAAGTTTCCGAAATTATGATTTGAAATGCTTTACTATAATTCTCAAGTAAAATAATTTTATATTTTTGTCCACAGACGTAACAAGAAGGTGGTGATCCACGTCCCGGTGAAAGTGAAGAAGATAAAGCACACGCACACGGTGTACAAAACCATCCATCATCACCACAAGCACCGCGACCCTCACATGGACCACACACTCATGGGTTCCGAGGAACATGAGCATTTCCACCACTTCCACATACACGATGACTCACCAGTAGGTCAACACAGTCAGCCGGCTCCCGGAGTCGGGATCCCAGAATTCCTACCGGATAGCCTCTTGGATGTTCCGCTTCAAATTCCTGATGTACCCCCCCATGAGATTCCCGGTTTGCCAAACCGACATATTGTTCCCCTCTATAGAAGAATTTAGGTGAGTTAATTTTATGTGTCTTTCAATGCTAAGTAAAGTTTACAGTCATAATTAGCCAAATATTTTTTACATGTATTTAGAGCCTCCTAGGTAAGACAGTGCTTGTGTTAGGAGACTCCGCGCTTCCATACCATTGCCGTAGAAAATCATTTCAAAAGGTGAAATCAGACGCAATATAATATTTTTTGTTACAGGTAGAATGTTATTAGACATTGAATGTTTTGGGATACTTAACAAGCCATAAGAGACTGACAAAATATGTGCTTTACGACATTTATTTATTGACTAATAATTTGGTAATGTGAAAAGGAATTGATTTTAATTCATAGATTGAAATAGTTTTTGTAACACTCGAAACTCTTACAACATATGCATTTCAGTACAATAACCTGTCTATTGTCTTTTTTCGTGTGACTAAACTGCATCGACCGTGGTCGTTAGTCAATAATTGGTAATTATAATTTCTTTAGAAATACAAATAAATTATTACCTACATTGTGTAATTGTGTAATTGATCATAAAATTGTTTTACGATTAAATACACAATAAACAACGAAGAAAAACATGTTATTGTTAAGTTTTAGTACTTATCACGTATGTACGTCGACAATACTTTAATTATTTTTATTCCAAAAATCTTAAATCAGTATTTCTTAAAATAAAACGTCTTTTGCCTTAGTATAAAATAAGGCTTTTCTTTAGTCTAGGTCTACTAACTAAAAACTACTTACTCCCTTAATTTCTTCTCCGGTTTTTTCTGGAGCTTCGGTATGTATATGGTAAATTACCACTAAAAATCTTACAGAATGTACTTTTACACTTCAAAATCACTCTTAATGGTTGTGAGTACGCATATGTGAGCACTATGTTTGAGACGATAAGGGATTGAAATTTTATGATAGATCCCATCATTTGTTCTTTTTTTTACAACTGGTCTCTGCATTGTTCTCACATAGGGGTACAATATGGTAAAACAATTTTTTTTTAAGTTTTACGATGTTGTTTCTTGCTCGTTCTTTCCATTCGAATCTCCAATTTGGAATGAGCACCTAGCTTCATTGACGAATAGACTGACAGACTACTTTTCTATTTTGACGTTTCAAAAGTACCTTTTCATGGTTTAGTTGGAATAAATGATTTTGACTTTGACTTTGAAACAATTAAGCCAGTTTTTGTATTTCAAATCGAAGTTAGGTGAGAATAAGATTGAAAATACAAAACCTGACTCAATGGTTTAAACCTAGACTAAAGATACTTAAATCTTCTTTTGTAATAAGGGGACTTGAAACTAGATCTAGAATTTAGATTAGTACTGAAATATAAACGACTTTATCTATTAAAAATTAAGTGTTGTACAAATATTATTAACTACGTATTAATAAAAATATAAATTATATAGCGATAGTACTGTACACTTGTCTACGAACTAAAAAGAGACTGACTTTAAATAAAAAAAAAATGTTACTTCAATCGAGATCTTTAGAGACCTCATTTAAAGTGAAAAGGGAGGACTGATCAGGGAGGCCTTTGTTTATCAGTGGACATTTTTCAGCTGATGATAATATGATAGTTATTATATCAAGCAACTAGCTACTTTCGCGCGGTTTTAACTGCTGCTCGACTCCATTTAATTGTAGCGTAATGTTTTATAGCCTATAGCACTCAGAAACATTGTAGCTATCTATCAGTGATTCAGAATTTCGGCAATCCGACCAGTCGTTCCAAAGATTACCCCCTACATACAAACTTACAAACTTACAAATTTTACCTCTTTATAATATTAGATTTTATGGAGATCGTAAAAAAGACTATGAATGTACCTATTAATTATACCAATTCAAACCAGATGGGTTAGGTAGGACAAAAGGGAAAATAAAAATAGACTCTACGTTCTTATTAATTTATTTTAGATAGTTTTAATTAGGTTTTAATCACTTAAGGTTATAATAAGATTGGCATTCTGTAGGTGACAAACAGTCATGAAATAATAAAATTAAAATAGGGCTTATTTTTCAATTGTCACATAAATGTTAACCGAAGAATAAAATTGTTGCTGTCACTGTCTTATACAAACATTCTGACGCGAAAGCATCATAATTATTTCCCAGGCAACTAGTAGCTAACCATTTAAAAATCAGCCCTTTGAATCTAACCTATACTTTTTAAATGCTCAATTTTTTCAAAATTTCGTTAATATTGGTTTACGCTTGAAAATGTGTATGTAACTAATTAATAAGTATTTATTCCTACATCAAACCGAATAAGTTGTTGGATGCTTTTGTCAAATTTATAGATATCAGATAGATCGATTATATACAAAATTACCGTAAATCAATGTTGACTTTTGACAGTTTACTCACCACGCCCCAAGCGAACGCCGGCGTTCCTCCCCCTATTTTTCTATTATTGTCTCAAATTACCACAACCGAAAGGTTAATCGAAATACCGTCAAAATGGCATCAATGCAGTCAAGGATTTTGGGTTGAGATCGGTTATTTTATTTATATCGTCCGATAGTTGTATACATGCATATTAGTCCGGTCAATTTAGACCAAAACATGAGAGTGATGTTACATAGAGTCCCAACAAGCTAAATTTCTGTGTAATTGTCAACTTTTATAACTTTTTGAATCGTTACATCTCAGAATCGGTGGCTCGTAAGAAATAAAGTGTTGATATGCCTTTTATAGATAATTTTATGAACTACAATCTTTGTCTGAGGTACTTTTATCATAATACTCACCGTGTTGCTGAAACTCAAGAAAACCTCATTTTTTTTACCTTTGACCTTGAATAAAAAATTTTCCTTACAGGGGAATTATGGGGAACTTCTAGGCATTGTTTATAATTATGCTTTTAACAATTTCACAGAAATTCAACATGTTGGGACTTTATGTAACTTCGAATATCTAAATTGACCGGACTATATAATGATAGTTGTTATTTACATCCATTATCTTGCAAATTAGTTTTCAATTTATTTGCGATTATTTTCATAATTTATTTTAAGATATTATAAGGTAATAAACTGATTTAGATTTTTTATCATATTGTTTTATTTTTATATGTTAGTGACAATTAAAGCTAGTGATGTCATAGTGATGTCATATTAATTTCAGATTATTTAATGAATTTCCTTTACTATTAAAAAAGTAAGGTTTTTTTTTTTTACTTGCAATAAACCAGTGCTTGACTGCGATCCCACCTGATGTTAAGCAGTGATGCAATCGTTGATGGTAAGGCGCACTAGTTTATTAAGAGCCTATTCACTCTAGCCTTGAAGACACCTAAGTTGTATTCGGACGGAAAGACTGCAGCCGGCAAACTGTTCCAATCCCTCGATGTACGCGGTATAAATGACGAGGCAAAACGCTTAGTCCGGGCCGCAGGTGTCTCAACAACGTAGGGGTGGATATTCGCCGTACGCCGGGATGTCCGAAGGAAGGATACTTAAGGAGAAGTTTTTTGAAGTCTGAAGTTGCCAATCTGCCCTGAGGAAGTGTGGTGATAAATGCTCATTACTTCTGCATGTGAAAGAGGCCTTTACTCACCCCTGAATTCATATAGGTTGGCTATGATGATGATGTTGATGATATACTGTAATTAATGATGTAGATGCCTTATGGACCAACTGGAGAACTAAGGTCGACAACAAACATGGCCAGCAACACTCTCTAATAAACATGAGACACTGCGATTGTTACCAAACCTTTTTACGTAGCGGAAGAGTATCCTTTTTTTAAACAAAAAGCAGTTCACTTAATAGTAAGCAATCGGCGTCGCCCATGGATGCAACACCAGAGAAGTTCCAAGAGCCTTGTTGGCCTTTCTAGGTAATTAAGTATCCCGAGCGTACGATCGTCATAGAGCCTGTAGACCACCACAGATGGGGCCCTTTAGGGTTTATGTTTAGCCGGGGTTGCGGGGTAAGCGCAGTAAGGCACCGTGGCCTCGTTGTCGTAGTAGGAAAAGGAACGCCGGGGGAGAGTTTTAATCAGTAAGAGTCTGACACTCCCTTCTGCCACACCTTACGCGAGAGAAGTTATTTGATGATTTTCCCCTAACAAAAAAGGGGGTTTAAGTATTTGAGGATTCTGTATATCTGTCCATACAAATATGACGCAATAATATATGTCTATTTTCGTAACTCAATAATTGAACACGAGTGTCCATAATTCTTCATTCTAAATGAAGAATTAATAAAAGAATAAAAAACATCAGTCTCATTTATTTGCCTGAGACTCGATAAAATCACCATTGTAGTAAGTACTTACATAATGGCAATAACTTATTACGTCATAGATATTTTAAATTAAAGAAGTAGGTTATGTCCGTTGTTACATTTTGCTAAAAACAAGAAAAAAAACTGTATTTGGAATTCTATTTAGCGTGAGGCTTGATACTTCTTATCGATCATCATTAGAGAGATATTCGCATAATCCCTGAGATAAAGAACTCACTCATCGTTACTTTAATATAATGTCCCATGTCTATATAATTCAGATCTTAATTCTACACATCTGGTTTTTTTGGTGTGGTACGTTCGCAAACGAACTGGCTGACTACCATCGGCGCCGCCATGAGCACCCTCAACACCAGATTTGAGGTTAGTTATGGGGGTAAGAGGTTTTAGGGATTCAAGGACTAGTGAAGGATGACGATTGAGGAAGGATTGGGCATCCACTAAACACTCTCACACGGCGAAACACAACACTGGTTGTTTCACGTCACTGCTTATGTTAGGCTGTGGCATCATTCCGGTTGAGCTGGGCTTTTCTTCCGAAGCATAGCTCTCCCACACTTAAAGGAAAATAATGGTTAAGTATATATGCAAATGATCTGTCTAGAGATTAACAGAAACCATTCGTAAGTAAGGTGTTTGAGAACCTCGCACTTACCAATGCGGTAATCTATCAACCTGTTACAAAACTTCTGGATAGCTACTATTTACCAGTTAATTAATTTAGAACGCAATTGGTACAATGTCTTGTACCACATAAGTATATTCGATAGTTACAAGTTGTGAAACAGGCACTTAATGTAATTTTTGCTACTAATTAATTAGGCACAACCGAGCCGAGTATAGGTTTTGCTAATATTCAATATTTTTGAAATCAAACCAAAACTCATTATTCTAAAAGGGGATTATAAAGATTAAACAGACATAAAGTAACTTTAAAAATAAACATTGAAAAACAAATACATTGTTTGCCGGAGATAACTAAAGCTCCACTTACGCGAACAATATGAATATTGTTTTAATATCGATACTAAAATGTACAGCTATTTCATAAAAAGGTTTTATAAACTAACATCAAATATTAATTTAAAAAACTTTACAGATAAAGTAATCACTTGAAACTAACCAAAAAGAACAATCGATAACGCACAGGTAATCAATAAATTCAATCGTAACGAGTGATTAAATTTTAATGGGCATACTCTAAAGAGTTATTTATGAGCACGATTTGACCCAACTTACAAGTTTTATTTATTGGACGCCACCCCGCACTTATAGAAATAACTAATCGATGTAGTCGACCTTTCTCAAAACCTCTTCTATTTTTGTTGAGTTCATTCAACGGTAGAACCAAACTTTACTTGAATGAAGTATCCATATTGTTTGTTGTACAACTGACCGGCGCATTCCACTATATCTGGGTTATCCAGAAACGTCGACTGAAATGTATCGACAGATCAGTAGGAAGAACGCAGTCGTAACTGTATTACAGCATCTACGTTGCGGTCAGGCTGAATGCGACGTTTGGAACGGTAGTGAAATAGTTATTACACACAGAGACAGCAAAAAACCGCTGCCACCTTATTTCCGGGCGCACGAAAAGAACTCTGCATCGATGGAAACTAGAGCGACAATCGTCCCGTCGCGCACGCCCACTATGTCTTTTGGCATGCTTCGCCGACAAAGGCAATTGTTCTCTTTTTGTTGATATTACGGGTTTATTTAAGCGAAATTGGATAAATGGTCATCTCGCGATGTTGCGCTACTCAATCCGGTGCGGTGTGGCGGCGGTGCGGTGCTGCCGTGTGAAGCTCGTCGCTCCACTGCTCTAAAATAAAACTAAAAATCTGGAAGGAAAGAAAGTATTGGTTGTGATGTAAAACAAAATGTGAACGTAGGTCCGTTTCGTTGGTGTTATTAGTTCAGCTGTACTGGTCACCGCGGGTTGTGGACTGTTGTCGTGCTAGTTGGTGGACGTGCTACAGACATGGATGTTGCCAAGCTCCTCACGGTGCTCGTGGTGCTGTGCCTTGAGGGAGGCGAGACAGGAGGCGGAGGAAAACACCAGTAAGCATTCACCTTTGTTATTTACATGTTTTTAATGATATTCATGTTAGTGCTGTGTTAATTTTGTTTTTCGAATATTGTATGTATGTTATGATTATTTACCACCTATCACGAGTGTAGTTTGATAGAAGATAAATATTTAAGGGTCTTTAGGGTTTAATGAAATTGATTGTAAATATGAATTTTAAGTAATTATTTATGCAAATATTTTTAGTTTACATAAATCAAGCGAAATGTCTAACGCTATGCGGCAGTCTCGAAAGTTTAAAATTAGGGTAATGTTATGTTACGCTCGAAGGGAACCAATCATGGCTAATTTATTTTATGGTGATTTTCTGCTTTGCTACGGCGACTACATTCACAATTGCATCATTATAATAATTCTAATGAATATTTATTTAATATTTTGGTCATCATTTGCAACCTATTTTCCAGTGACCACGTGCGATTGCACATTCCGGAGTTCATTCATCATGATCATCACAAGAAAGTAATTACGATACACCATCATCATCATAAGCCAAAGAAAGAGCATCATCATCATCACCATCACCACCATAAGCCACAGATCCCTCATGGGCATCATTACCATCATCATCATAAGAAAGTTCATACAAAGACGCATACTGAGACGAAGGGCAAACATCACGGACATCACGGGCACCACCATGGTCATCACGGACATCATGGACATCACGGTCATCACGGACATCATGGTCATCACGGTCATCACGGCCACCATGGTCACGGACACCACCATGACGCGCCAGTCGTGCCAAGCTTTTCTTACACTCCCAGTGCTATTCCTTCATACGAGGAGGACTACTCGCAGTCATACTCCCCCTCCGTACCAGCTTATGGTGGCATCCCAACCACTGGCTTCTCCGCTGCTCAGAGCCCTCGAGTGCATGGAGTAACCCACACAGTAAAACAAGTAAAGGTATTTGATTCTCTACCTGGCGCATTACCTAACGCTGGTGGCGGTGGACATGGCTACGAGGTGACAGAGGAAGGCGAGGAGGATGACGATGTGTTTACAACCGTTAACCAGCTACAAAACCGATTCCCGGCAACATTTGGCTATGTTCGTAGTGCTGCTGCTGAGCCGACAAACGATCCTTATTCTGAACTAACTTCACATAGCGCGATTCCCACGCAATTTGCGGCAGCTCCAGTGCCCACCACAGCACTTTCTGATGGAATTGAAACATTCACTGGATCTGTGCAGAGTGATCCTTTCGCGTCTTCTGCCCCAACACAGGGCATAGGCTTACCCAGCGTCCAGCCTTCAGTTGACTACCCCGTAACTTTCCAAGCTGAGGGTTTCGATGGTCAACTGAACTCGTTTACCGGCTCTGACGGTAAAGACGGATCCTTCATATCTCATGAGGAGAACAATTTGTCTGATGAAACACCCGTGTCATTCACAAGGGAGGCCGGTATACAACAAACAACGAATACTGGCAATGTTGAGACCCTTGTTTATTAGATCAGTAAGTAATTTAAACTGTAGTGTTAAAATAACGGGAGCTTAATGTCAAAACAGCTGATACTTTGTTTATTTGGACCCCGCTAAGCAGTAAAGATCTAACCTGCAAATTGTACACTTACCAGTGAGGTCATTTTGCGCGATGTAACATTATTTAAGTAATGATTATTATTTTCATGAAATCTATTATTCTGTCTAACTTATTCACTAAACTGAAGATAAAAATGAAAGTACAGTCACGCACAATAATAATAGTAAATACAAACAGTGATCTGTCTGAAGGAAGTATGATTAATTGTTATTCTATTGTTAGTATTCGATTGTCATTAAGTCTGTAATAGCAGTTAGGTACTATCTATTCAGTTACTGAAAGCTCTTATGTCACCTAACTACTTACATAGTAATTTACTACACCCCAAATAGTAAACGACGTCGGCCGATTCGACTCGCCCTAGATCCGAAGTTGCGCAAGTCGTTAAAAAAACCGTTTTTTTTTTAAGTGTCAACGTAACTGTAGCAGAATAATTTAATAAGAAAAAAAGTCTAAGTTAAGTGTTGTGTAACTGGATGCTGGTTAATAAAAAGAAAAACATACTATGACTGTGTTTGTCCGTTGTCTTAGCTCGGTTTGTGTATTAACTCGTTGTGTACAATTTAAATTGACCATCGTAAAATTTGAGTAAATATGTAACTAATAAATACTACACATAAAACAATATTAAGCTATCTTGACATTAAAACTATACGTTCCAAATTCGATTACAAAAAAATTAAAAGAAAATCGTTACAAATTAGTTCATTATTTAAATTTTTGAATTGTTCTACTTATATCCTTCCCTAGATAATATAGATTCGTGTAATCTCTATTGGTCAGTTAGTTGGAGATTGAAGATTAAAAGATTCTGTTGTCACCGAGATATGTCCCATCCTGTTAAAATTAGTAATTAAATACTTTAGTTTATAATTTGTTATTGTTTTAGTACCTAAGTAGCTATTTTTTACCTACCGATATACCAATGAATTTATTGTTAGTACTGTTTAGTTTTTTAATTGTTATATTTACTTTGTTAGTTGTTGTTATTGTTTGTTACATAAAATAAACATTTATGAAATTGTTTTCTTTTATTATTTTGCCCTTTCTGATAAATAGTCTGTGGTATTCTAATACATATGAGGTTCCTCTCTCTGTGGCCCGGTGCCAGTTGTGTAGTTTCTTAGTACTTACGACGCAGTGAGGGAGAGGGCTGGATACTAATGTGGTATCCTATGCACTCACAACATGGTACGGTATTACTATGAACTGGTACTAAACAGTACTTTCTTTTAGAGTAAGGTGTTTGTTTATAAATAGTGACTGAAAGTTTTAATTTAATAAATGCTTTTCCCTTTTTTTTCTTTATGAAAATAAACGTTACCCTACATACAATTTCACCTTCATATCACACCCAAACCCGAAACACCAATTTGTAAATCACACAAAGAGTTGTTCCGTGCGGGAATCGACCACGCGACATGCGCAGCAGCCAGTTGCCTAGCCTCCGCGCCAACCGTGCTGTCATCATCTATATCTTTTTATGGAATAATTTTATGGAGACAAACGATCCGAAGGACCCCTGACACCCGCAACACCAGAGATGCCATAGATGTGTTCTTGCCTTTTAAGAAGGAGTACACTCATTTCTTAAAAGGTAGTCACCAATGTAGCTTTTTGTATAATGCAATAGTTTTGATTTCTAGTGGGTTCCATTTCTAATGACTTAGAGACTGAGTAACTAATTAGGATCTGCAGGTGGATTTAAAGGTTCTAAGGAATAAGGTGAGGTTACTTCAAAATCCCTCTGAAATTTCATCATCTCCCTTTCTCACACGGGGAACTATTAATTACTACGCTTGGTCAAGACGGATTACCGATTTAAATCTTATATTATTTCGAAATTATGTCCTTTTTCCCCCACAAACCTTAGCTTATGGCGCGTAGCCTTCCGTAATCGCCTCAAACGGCTAACAGACTACCACAGATAGATTACATAGACAGAAGGTCCAATAGAGCTGATGTTCAGCCGGGATTGCGGATTGCTCAAATGTATCATCTGATTAATCCACATTTCAAGTGTGGGAGAGTTATGCTTCGGCACGAATGGGTCCGCTCGACTGGAGTGATACCACTGCCTCGCAGAAAACCGACGTGAAACAACCACAGCGTTGTGCTTCGCCGTGTGAATAAGCCTTCCTCTCCTCCAATCCCTCCCTAATACCAAAATCTCCAAATACCTAACTCCCAAAAGGTTGGTAACGCACTCGTAATTACTCCATTGTTACCATTGTCTATGGGTGGCCTTGATGCTTACTATCAGGTAATATGCTTACCATAAGGTCATCAGTCTGCTCATTTGCCGTCCTTTAACATGAAACAGTGCTTTCGTGATAATATCTCCAGTAGATCCTATCCCACAGATAAGCTGCATTTGAAATTGTCAGTTGAGTTTCTCCAAGTAATAAGTAAATTAGAACCCAGCTTATTATGACTTATGTACTATTAGCTGAATGCAGACTAGATAATAGGATTTCCCATTATCTTTACATTTGGTGGTTGGTTCAGAACGATGGCACGAACAGCTACACCCAAAGGAAGAATATTCTGCCGTAATCACATGATATCATAGTATTTTTTAAGATATACAAGGAAATAAAAGTTAAATTAAAGAAAGATTATTGAAACTTTATTCAACGTCTCTCTGGTTTAAAAAATTGAAATAAAAAAATAAGAATAAAAAAAGATTAAAATTAAATCTTTTCATCTAATCATCATCTTTTTTCGGCCTTCGTCCACGGATGGTGGGCGAGTTTATAGGTACAGCATAAACGCACAACATACATATAAATAAATCATAAAACAAAAATTCACCACATAACATTATAATATGTGCACCTAAGTACCACAAAAAGGTAGCGACGTTAATCAGATCTCATGATATTCCAAATCTTGATGCTGGTTGGCATCAAGATTTGGAAAATTAATATTAACACTTGATGTTACTATGTAGCAAACCAGTAATTGGCGATAGCATGGTTTTTGTAGTGGCTGAGCAACCAACTTCTGCACAGTGTTTGTACGGAACTACTCTTTGATATCTCATGCAGTCTGTATGTTTGTAAGAACAAGCATAGACAAACGGAATCAAAAGAAAACATATTCATTAGCAACAGAAAATTCGAAATCGTTGTAGTTCCAGGGTAACCAAAATAAAAAAAAAGTAGACATTTACTAATAATGTAAGAGCCAGATAGTATCAGCGTGTATGTGTTACACTTTATTTCTATGACATTTCATTTTAGTTTTTACTTGAGAAAGTGCTTAACAAATATCAAAAAATGTAATCTGCACCCCTATACATGAACAGCACGAGGCTTAACCACCTCACTGCGTCAATCCGTTCTTTTTTTTGAGGGAGCAAAATCGTCTGAAAACTTATCTCGCCCAGGTTGCAGCGAGGAATATTATGGACTGAATACCAGCCCCGTTTCTTTTACTGCTACGATCCGGGTCGAAGTCAACTCCGGTTGAACATCGGCCCTAATGGGTCTCAACTTTGGTGTTATGTTATGATGAAGCGCACGCTAAACGTGACATGGAGCTCACTCAGGTTTGGTTTTAATAGGCGGTACTTCTTTAAATCACCAATGACTTATCCAGGCATCGAAATTTCTACGCTGCGTGCTAAAACACTCCTCCCACGAAATGCCATTGATTTTCTTGCCCATTAAATAGGTTTGTATATTCGTTTTGCAAAAAAAAACGTCCTGAGCTTTAAACATATTAATTGTTGACATTTAAAAGTCACTGTAATGTGAGAAATGTGTTAGATAGTCAATGAAAGTATTTACTCTAATAACGTACTGGTTGTGTAATCAAGAACATATCTTAAGCAAATGAAATAAAAAGAGTATGCAGACAGACATGCAAGTTCCGCGTCTGGTAACAATTAGGAGAACGCAACAGTCTAACATAGGCGACCGCATTTAAGGTTCCGGAACGAATTCTATGTAGGAAACAAAAAATACAAGAATTTGTTGTTACGTTTGTGCATCAAGATGCGGAAAATCACAAAACGAACAAAAGATGTGCCATGTTAGAAAGTTACAACCGTCGCCATTTGTTTTTTACAGCGAATACCAACCGCGAGACGTTTTATTTTGTTTTATTTTATTTTTGTACTCTGTGCGTACTAGCAATATTCTATAATTTGCCATTGATTGGCGCTTGAAGAGCGTCACAATGTTTTGGTCACACACCCATATACTAGTAGAGGAACATGAAAAATAAAACACGGTTACAAACGGTAACATTTTAAATAAAAACAGGTATAATATTAATAACAAACTCCCGTTTAAACCGGGATATATTTCACAACAACGGTTCCTTAAAGCTATACCTTAGAGCTATTATACAAACATACAGACAGACAAACACGGGTACAGTCAAACTGTAAAGCTACATACAAGACATTCAAGACAGACCTTCACAGCTTTGTAATAACATAATGAGGATACAAGTATTCAATACAACATTAAATATGAAACAGTGGACGAAACACGACGAAGATGTATGAACGACAATCAGAGCAAGGAATAAGTATTTCTAAGTAATACTTAATCAATAATTTGTACTACGTCCACTGCCAATTCATATTGCAACCTTATATTAATGATATGTACAGAGATATTTGCATTAATGTGGTCAGTATCCTCCGTGGCCTATGTCTGAGCCATATGACACGTCTTCGCTCTCAGCAAGACCGTATCCTGTGTGGTCTCCACCTTCGAAACTGACAGGAGATTCTCCATAACCACCATCGCCATGAGACTCTTCGGCAGCACCCCATCCGTGTCCTGGAAGACAACGAAAACCGTTAACAACTTTGCATCGTTCAGTTAGGCAGAAAGCTTAGGGCGACACCTATCCACGATATTCATACTATTTTAGATTCTATGTTCCGTTAAGTTCACCGGTTAAAAATACAAATTTGCACCGTTTTATTTTAATATGAGACCAGCATAATTTGTGCTTCTATAGGTGGCAGTACATACCAGCCTTACCACATGTGACAACCATTTCTTACGTAAAAGGTAGAACACACATTATGTTCATAAATCAACAACAAAGCTGGAAACATTAGAAAAACGTTTACGATTGAAGATAAACACGTCATTGTTTATAATGACACTTTATCTCTATCTAATCGTTACTCAGTGTGAAACAAAGTGTTTTCTTTCCAATCTATCTTTGAAAATCTTAATATTGTTTTAATGACCATTCTTTTTTTTTTCCTGGTCGTAGCCTGATGTTCTAGTGTTAGTAACCTACATATATTTCTAGCATTTTACTTGTAGTTAGTTCATTTCCGTTTTACCTTTAGTTAGGTAAGTTTGAACAACTACCAATATGCTTAAATAATTTACGTTGTTAGTTTTTAGACTTCTTTAAGTCTCTTCCTAGTATGTTAGTAACTTATAATGAAACGTTCAAAACATTGTTTTTTATAAGTATTTGATGATGGACATCGAAGGTAAAAATCCTCTTTTAATAATATGTATTAAGATTGTACTTTTGTACATTTTGTACCGTATTCCTGACATTTAAAAAGTACTCTTTTTGAATAAATTTCAATAAGAACCACTCAGGACGTGGAATTGTAAAAATTTCAAGGTCAATTTGACCACATTTTGAGACCCTGATTGCTACTGATGGCCAACTATTTTCATTCTTTTTATTTATTATTAGACGCCACCATATGCCCTGTATCATCTATCATTTTCTTTCTGAGCTCACCTCCTCCGAAGTGTGGTGCAGGTTTGGGTTCTCCGTAAGTGTAACCTAGGACCTCGTAGTGGTCATCACCACCACCACCGCCGCTCTTATGGTGTATGTGCTTCACAATGGTGTGCTTATGATGGTGGTGCTTCACAAACACCGGCACGTGGATGATGACCTTCTTGTGTCCTCCGCCGCCACCGCCAGCAGCGATGAGCGACATCAGCTCTGCCATGCAGACTACGACTACCTGGAATTATGGGAAGGTTCGATAAGTTTTTGCTAATTACTCTTTTTGGGTGTATTCTGTGTTGGTCTATGAGTATGCTTTTCTGGACATCTGTTACATAACAAAACACAACAGTTATTTTTTAAAAGATTTGATATTCTTTCAAAAAAAGGGTCAACCTATACCGTAACTTTAGTTTTCAGTTGTTTCATATTTGAGTGTTTATAAAGTCTCCAAATATGCGTCTAGATAAATTGAATTGAAGTTCATAGATCAAAAAGTCTAACTAGTTTCTCCCAAACAGGCGTTCAAATTATCACAAAACATTCACGATTTTTGGTCATTCATCATTCCAAATACAGTTAAAATTCTATTATAAATGTACATTAATATAATTACGTTTATGAAATCCCCAAATTTTATAAAAATTAAACAATTTACACGTAGCACACTAAATAATCTTTTTCACCTCCTAAAAGTGCTACGAAAACTGTCTACGAACCGCTACGAAATTAACGTGAAGGTATTTAACAAAGTTATACAATCGTACATACAGAAAGGTGCGTGTAATGTGTCATATTACACTGTGGGTACATAACTCCGTACCCACTCCATAGCAATTTCACTCGGAAGGAAACACACGGAAATGAAAACACAATCGCAAAGGCAAGCATTAAAAGGGGTCTTCGCAAGGCGTTAGGGCTTCGCTCACAACAACAACCATTTCTATTTTCTTACACATAAAAAAGTAAAATTGTTATAAAGCAGTAAATAAATAATAACTAATAAAAAAACCTTGAATAGAACGTGACATTCGAGAGCACTTTCTAACTCACCGAGTATCGTTTGGTACCTATAATTGAGTAGCTACAATGAAAATGATTCCCTCAGTGCAAAATACAATTACCTGTCAACTTGATATGAGGCGAAACTAAAGGCTATATTCACAACCAATAAAACTTTTGCATCATTATAAGAATATGTTTTTTCATGAGATCGATCTAACACTCAAATATCAATGTATCATATTTATTCTCAAAAGCTCTATTTTATTAATTCATTTAGATTTTATTAATTTTCAAATATTTTCACATTAATGTGAAATCTCATTTGTACGCAAGGTTGTCTACTATGGATGTGAAATTTATTCGATCGATACTTCGAAGTGAAATTGTGTCAAAGTTCTTAATTAGTTATCGACAGTTTTCTGAATTGTCCGCGAATGAAGCAATTTTGGTTAGATTGCAATCAACACCTGCTCCATTAGATTTTTAAGTTCTTTTTTACAATGTTATGACACTATGACTTGCTATTGTGGACAGTAATTGGTATACAATTATCCTGAATAGTTTCTTATTTAAGGCCTAATTTAAAACACGTTCTGAATATTTAACGTTATTGAACATTTTCGTAAGCAAACACAATTTCAGTTGCAAGTACCTATAGTTAGTTACTACCATTTTACTCACTGTTATGTAACGGATGTCCGGAAACGCAAAAATATTCCAGTTTCACTTGTAACTGTGTGTTTGTATTATTGTATGTGTAATATGAGTGTATTAATTATCTTAATATTATGACTCACCAGAAGACGGGCAGACATGGTGTAAGAAGATAGAGCGGTGAGTGACCGAGCGCGGGTGCAGGCAGTTGGTGTGTGATAAAGAAATTTAAACAAAACTTCCTTTTATATCGCAACGTGGTCGCGTTTCGCGACACTGCCTCTCGGCGGCTTCAATCTAATGCGCGTGCGACTGCACCCAAACCAATTTAGATTCTATTACCACCGGACAAAATACATTATGCGGATATAGAGCCGTTTTTATAAAAACTTCGCTGTTGCAATCAAATTTAAGCTCGAAAATATTGACTGGCAAGGTTCATATTCCAACAGATGACTCTCTTCGCAGATATCTTCGGAGCTGTATCATTACAGTGAAAATACAGTTTACATTGTAGCAGTAAAGTAGATATTTGTTTGTGATTTGGAGATTCGATTGTGATGAAGATCCGCAAGGGCCTCTGGGCGCGAGGAGTGAATTGTAGGGGATCTTAATGGATTGCATCTTACGTCATGTTTATAGGGCGAGTATTGAAGCTATCAAGTAATAAATAAACGTCTAATAAAAGAGTTTGTTTTATTGAAAAATACCGTTATTACCGAGTTATTTATGGATACTAGCTCGGCTGGGATCTCGGAACCGTCGCTTGGGAATAGAAAAAGTTTATTGCTTTATTCGCCCTCCAGTCATCTTATAATGACGTTTGGTTGTCTATCCCTGGGAATCAACGTGTCTACACATTCATGGGCATTAATCCGATACACAATTACAATATTGAAAGGAACACAATTATGAATGACGAATAACAGTTTTGTCTTGGTCTTTCAACGACGCTTTTAGATAATCGTATGTATCATTTGTTTTAAAATGAAATTGTTATCGCATGTACCTATATGTAATGTTGAAATTTTAAATCATGCAGAATAGAAACAGATTTTTAAAGACTTTTAAGAGTCTACCATCTTACAGAGAAACAGTAGAAGCTGGTTATTCAATCTATTCATGCAAGCGGATAAATAAGACAGGAAATGATGCGTATAATATACATAGTATATGTTATACATAAATTATATATACAAAGCGAAATTAAAGTTGCAATGTATATGCGCAAGCGCGCGGCGGCGAATGGAAGTTGAGACACTTTTACTATCGTTCTAACGAAAGGGAAGACGATGAGATTATTACAGCTAGCGCAATAATACTTTACAAGGGATAATATTCAAGAAGAATAATGATGATATTATATTTACTTCTAACTATACATTTTATGTAAGTTTTGTTCTTAAGACGATTTGGAGCGACCATTTTTTTCTTTTGATTACAGGTTAACCCTCAAAAGTCCCCTAACTTTGGAAAGAAAAATGAAGAGAACAATCTCAAACTCCGTAGTTTATACTAGGGAGTTTTTACCTACCTAAAATTGCTTATCACTTAAATATGACATCGGGAACTTCCTATGCTGCGTCGAACCGAACACCCTGAATAAGCTTTAAAGAAGAACAGTTTGACGAGCAATTCAATTTTCTGATATTAAAAGAGATGCTCTGGTTATGAGGTATGCAAAGTGAAGTTTTTCCTTGAAAGAAGAGAAGTTGTAAGTCTTTGTTCAGCAGTGGACGTCTTCTGAATGATGATGAACCTTGAAAGAGTTATCGTTCTTTAGCAAGATCAAAACCCTAACTAATTCTTCTTCTGCTATAACTACTATTTAGAAATATTGCACGTAAATAGTATTCTAGTTAAGTTTTTGCGAGATGTTCGCTACCGGAACAATAAAAAAATATTTCCTACGAAAGGGCGTCCGCGACCTTCAGCAGTTTTCGAAATCTATGGTCAAGGTTTACTTCCTATTTCGTACAGTCAAAATAATGGACACGATGCACTCCTCTTTCATTTTGATATCGCTTGTAGTTTTGTTATGCTTTGAGTTTTATGTTTTTAGTTGTTAATGTAATAAAAATATTTGTAATATTAATAAAGGATATGAAATGATTTGTAATATGTTTAAGACATTTTATAATTCGATTGATGCATTATGGAATTTATTTCAGAATGCGGGTATTTATCCTCCTTGGTATACATATACGGTAACTTCAGTTATTATTAAAAAAGCTTAAAAGCATTTAATAATATAAATATAATATTAAAATACACTTCAAAATCTTATACAAATCCCACTTTACATTGTACCTATTTCTGTGTGGAATTTTATAAAAAGTAATACACCTAACTATAAGATTTAAAAAACAATCTACACGGCGAAGGTTGCAACTGTTATACAAAAATGTAAACTCTGGCTTGGCTTGAATATAATCGAACGATCTCGTCAAAAATTGCAACTGAAGATTTAACATGGTTCACAATGTTGTACTATTATGTGTGTATATAAGTACTACAAATAATACCCCTTTTTTTGTTAGGGGAAAATCATCAAATGACTTTTCCAGCCCAGGGTCGGGCGGGAGGGAGTGTCAGACCCTTACTGACTAAAAACCCCCCTGTTCCTTCTCCTGCTCTGGGCCGAGGTCGCGGTGCCTCATTGCGCTTACCCCGCTACCCCGGGTGAACAAATAATACCCCTACATGTACTTAATTTCAAAAATTTTATTCGTCAAATGATTAGAATTAATGGTGATATCGAGCCTACCTCGAACGTCATCCGCTCGCTCGGCCGGAACGTCTGAAGCATTCGACTTGAAACAGAGTTTCCTATGTCCACTTGGAAGGTCAATTGAGGAAATACCCACGTTTCCCAACCTCAAAGAAACAGTTTCACTCAGCATTCAACCATCTATCTTAATACGTACGTAATAGAAGACAGGGGCTGAAGCAGTAGCGCGTTACATTTCTTTTGATCATTATGTTCTTACTTGCAGATTAGATCTTTGTCTAGGAGTGAGTTGCAATTTAAATACAACCTACTGTAAAATATAATAACAATTAAATCTCTTTGTTCTAATGAAGTCCTTATTTTCTTATGCCACATATTTTGAGTTCCAGTTGCACTTAATTATTGCTTTGTGATCAAACAAATGCAAACTGATGGTACTGATGGACTACACCAAAAAGTGTCACGAATGCGTTGCCGGCCTTTTCATTATTCGATTATGGAGATTCAGGGATTGAAGAAGGGAGGGAGGAAGGAAAGGTTTGGACCTTTATTTTTGGGTTAAGAATATCGTCAAGTCCTGCCCTCAGCTGACCGTGAGAGAGTTTATAGAAATAAATACTACCACGTTTCTTCTCCTTCTCCGGGTCCAAGCCGCGGCACAAGCTCTTGACTCGCAATCCCCAATCACCTCACTCAAACGGCAAAACATAATGCTGTAGTCATTTCACGCTGGTTCGCTATGAGGCCGTGGTATCACTCCAGTCATGCCAACTCATTCACCAAAGCAGTATTCCCTCAAGTTTGAATTGTCATTTGTCATAACTCCTATTTTTTACTGTATCAGAAGTACAATACATATTTGTTGAATTGCATGTTTTTTCACTAAAGGCTGAATTCTCAATGGTTAGATAAAAGTTATCTGTATCATTGACACAAATTATGCATTTGTGTAACTGGATAAAGGCTTAGACTTCGTCGATGTTTCTTAAAAATAAATCAGCTATTCCTTTGTTTATACTATAGACTAATAAGTATAGTATATAGATGGAAAAAAGTTTTTGTTATTTTTTAGATTCTTTCACTGTTGGTAAACATCACTATTTAACCTTCAAACCTCTAGGGGTTTTCTCTTGGGGTTTAGTGAATATTAGTTTTCGGTGACAAGACTACGCGGTTAAAGCCGCGGGGTTCAGCTAGTATACTATATACAGTTAAAACGTTTTATTTGAACATGGAAGTACTAGATCAGAGGTGCTGGTGCAGTGCTTATTTCATGCCGGAACCATCACGACGTGATTGCAGGTTTGTTGCATCTAATGTTTATTTCCTCTGTTTAAGTTTCTATTAGAGTAGTCACGTTTTAGTTCAGTCTTTTACAAAATACTCTAGCTGTTGCGTGTAACTTACGCATACGTGGGTCTATGTATAACTCTCAATATTTCCCATTCAAAGTTCGAGAAATTGATCCCCTACATTTTCTAGGTTCATACTACATGTCAATTATCATGTATCATTATTTAATCAGTCGTTTGACTATTTTTGTCTGTCTGTCTCACGTGGTAGATGTAGTAGTAATAATATATAGAATTCTTAAGTCTATAAATAAGTAGAGAGATAAATGAAATAATATTCTCAGAAGGAGGAGAGTAATTCTCGTACAATATTAAGTGAACCTATTACGATACACCGAGTACAATTTTATAATACAATAAATTACATATCTTTTTTCAAATCCGATAAAAAAATTATATACCTACAATTTGCTAGATTTTTTTTTGAGGATAGTAAATCATCAAATTTCTTCCCTCGCCCGGACTAAAATGAGACGAGAAACAATGTCAGACTTGTACTGACTAAAAACCACTTCGCTCCTTGTCTTGCGTCAAGGCGTGGTCGTGGTATAATATTGCGATTGACCTCTGCTGATAAACTGTTAAATGTAAGGATCATACCCGGGACCATAAGACCGACAAGACAGTATAATTTTTACATGATACAAAAATAGACAAACGAAGGCATACATACGCAACTAGAATTCCAATTACGTAACTGTGTAAACACTATATCGTAGAAGCTTTCATACAGACTCTCCGCACTCAATACAACGCTGTAAAAAGTAAAAAAAGAATACAATTAAAATTACAATTAAGTGGGTCACGAGTGGCGAACGTACAATCATCGCAATGATTTTTATCATAACTAACCATGTTACGAAACGTTAGGTTTTATTGTTTTATTTTCAAAATAATAATAAGTATGTATTAAGATACATCTGGTCTATGTTTTTGCGAGCATAGCCAAATAGAGTTCAGGATTACAATAAAAAAATTGTTCAATTATATACGATTCTTACCCATAAATGAAATACATTTTATTATATAGATATAGCATAAGAAATAAAAAACCAAACAAAGAAAAAATTGTAGGTATAACATTATTATTAAGTGTATAAGTTTTATACAAGTCAGAGTCAAGTA